TACATTCTAACTCTGGCCAAGTTTTTGAATGTGAAGGGAAAGACGAGAAAGAAAAGGGGAGAGTGCTTTTCTCTGGATTTGCAATTCTTATGTCCCTTCAGAGTTCAAAGCTGCCCAGGCCTTGGTGGGTGTAATTTGGGTAGAAGAATTGAAAATGAAAATTTTGCAGCTCATTGTGATTGGATATTGTTATGTAAACTGGGCTGTTCAGTTACTTATTGGAACTCCAGAGGCCTTCTGCCTAAGGGGAGAAAACTGATTACATCTAGTTAACATTGATTCAAATTGCCAAGCCTGAGATTCTCAGGTGGGTGGCTCTATCTGATAAGCTGCTAAAAAGGATTGGGGACTTTTTCTTAGTTCCCTTAAGGAAGTAGGAAAGAAAAGGAGAATTTAGAGCAGGAATTGTCACCGCGGGTCTTTTTAAGGGAATATATAAATTTGTGGGAAATATTTCCTTTTAAAGGGCCAAGAGTATTGGATTTAAAACAAAAATGTTTTTAAATGTTTATCATTAGTGATTATAAATTCAGATCTGATTGGATTTAAGTTTACTGTTCTATTAAAAAAACAATAATAATAGTTGTTATGAGATGTGGCATTATTAGTTAATGTTGAAAGGTAAAAGTATAATAAGAGTGATAAGAGCGATCATTTCTATATGTGATAATATGGAAATGCAATTGATGTTATCTAAAGTTTATTGTTTAAGTTATTACTGTATTTCTAAATTGTATTGTATTTCTAAAACTCTTAGATTGTAAAATCTGAGGGACCATTATGAGATAGAAATGGTGTTAAGGTAACTCGACCTACAGTGGGTCTTTTAGTGATAAAGATGAGATAATTTGAAAACTGTTAAATACCTAGTGAGGTGTATTTGGTTATAAGACTATGATAGCAGATTTTATTTAAAATTTTGACTATTATAAAATGTATGGTGGTTTAAAGCTATAGTCTCAACATATTAATGATGAGATGAATGATTTTCTGTACAAAGTGACTTAGAAGTACATCCATCTAAGTTGATAATGAGTCCTTTCTAAGTTTATTGCAATTGTGGAAATAATTTTATAATGTATACCCTGTGGTAATGATGGGGTTGGAATCTGGGCCCCAGAAAGGAAAAACCCTGGACTTTCCTACATAGCCAAATCTCTGCTACTCCCCTGAGGCTATAACCCCATCAATTGGTCTTTCATTGTGACTACACCCAATCTCCCCTCCATTGTCTTGCCTCCCTGTGGCCCCAGACCACTTCCCACCCTTAGTCCCACCTAGGCTCCATTTCCCACCCTTGGTAATTCTATTGCCACGTGGCCAAATGTCTGGATAATCCCATCAACTGGCCTTTCATTGTGGCTACCAGTAAAAAGACAATGATGGGCTAGCATAGATAATAGGAAAAAAGCCAGTCTATAGGGGTGGGAATGGTCCCTGGAGGCTGTTGGACCAGGTGAAAGGGTTCAGAAAGAGATTTTTATTGGGTCTGTTTCAAGTTTTAATATACTGCTTACTTGTTCCTGAATTTTCTTATATGATGTAATCTGGTAAGCAATTGTATTACTTATGTTGCTGGAAGGGCAATTTCTTGTATAATCTAGAATGTTGTTAAATTAATTGTGCCTTCAGGGAAAAGAGAAAAAGGAATGAATCGAGGCTGTTGGGGCATTCTATATGGTCCTGTTTTGTAACATTTCCTTTTAAGTATTGTAATTTAAGAAATGAGAACTTCCAAGTTTTGTCTATGTTTAAAGGGAAGTTTTAGCTGGGATTATCTGGCTTTCACTTATGAAGTTTAAAGTTGTTAACTAAGCTATTTGGAGTTATTGTTAAGTCAAGCACTGGTAAAAATATTTTGTGTGTGCGTGTGAAAAGAAACCTGGTAATTATGCAAAAAAAAAGATTTTGTAAAATCTCATAATTCTTATAGGCACCTTTTGACTAGAAAATTTAGGTAATTAGGAATTTTAGGGTAATTAGGAAATTGTAAGCTGTTTTTGAGAAAGGGAGATACTTTCATAAAAGAGTTTTGATAAAATCTTTAATATTCTTTTAAAGGGCCTACTAAATTTCTATTTGCAAAAACTTCATTTGCAAGAGTTTCATTCCTGGGTTTGTTGTGTCCTTGGACTGGACTTAACTGGGTGTTTTTCCATGGCCTAGCAATAGTTAAAATTACTGTTTGAACTTATCATATGTATAGGATTCAAGTCCTAAAAGTGTCTCATTCTTTCAGATTAAGAATGGTTAGAAAGGAATAAATAAGCTTGAGAAACACAGGCAAATTTATTTAGAATAGCAACTTATGATCTTAATGGAAACTTTGTTTTCCTCAGGACATTTTATTAGGAATCAGAATATGTGTAGGAAGTTATGCAAACTACTTAGAGCTCACTTTGGAGATGTTCCCTAATTAATGTGAAACTATAGTCACACCTGAAGCTCTGATGAGGGGAATTTGCTCTCTAGGACCTTGGAAACTGTTAATGAACTGTTGTTCTGAGTCGTCTAACGGAACTGATTGAGCTACCCATGATGTCAGCAATCTGCAAAGAGGTTTGTGAGCTGCATCTATGAGGTACAAGAGGGTGTTCTCATGGGAAGGTCAGGAGAACGACTTTTCTGTATGGCTGAGGTAGGATTCTCCTGACTATTTCCCCACTATAACACCTGGCCGACTTTAAGCCTGGCTCAATGCAGTTGGTCACATATATGTAACTTCTGCCTGGAGCTGACATGAATCTAGGGAAGCATTGTTCCCTTACTTTAGTTATGTTCTTTCATGGCAAATTCCTCCAATCATAAGTTTGTAAGCATAAATATCGAATCTATTAAACAATAGATTGATGCGGGAACATCTGAGGTTATTATAGTAAGATGCAAGTATAAGATGGAGTCATTTGGCCTGGAATTTCAGAATAGTATTCAGTCTTGACATCTGTTACTAGTATATTCCTGTACAAGTTGGGATCCTTTAATTTCTCCTAATGGTTACGATAATGTCTGGAGGTTTGGAGGTGCTGAGACTCCAAGATCACAATACGAGGGTCCTGCCTGAAGGAGCTCAGCCCAGGTCTTCTTTCAACCAGGGGGAAAGTTTGTTGGAGATAAACCATACAGGCCAGTTAAGTGAAGTGTAAGGGTTTTCTGGGGTCCATAGACAAATGGGAGCCAGGGGCAAAGGTCTTGGCTTGGATCCATACTCCATCATTAGGGGATAATTAGCCAAGAGATTGTGGAAGTAGGATATTATTCTGTTACTTAGTTAATAGTTAATGTTAGTTGTCTCAATTTGTTACAAATTAATGTTGGATTATTTATTTGTACATGATCAGAAGTTGGGACTGTTTTAGTATTTGATATGTACTGGTTTTAAATTAACTACTATGTATTGTAGTGTGTTAGTAATTTCTTAGTGGAATCTCATCCTCCTGATGGGGAATATGACAATATGGTCAACAAAGAGGGCCCATTTCTCCCACTTCAGACTCTCATAGCCGTGTATTTTACCGATTTCCCTCCTGAATTACAACTGTCTTTAAGACATCTTCCCCTGGGAATGGTTCAGCCATCCTGTAGATAGAACCCACTATCTTTGCCGCTAAGCTCACTTCTCCTCCAAACTTCATACTTCAAAGGTTGAAATGACTAATCTAGGACATTCCTGAACGGAAGAGGAAGAGTAACGTGTGGCCTGGGCTGAGGAGCACGTCCAGAGAGAGGGGAAGGGCAGTTTAACCTAGCTTGACCTTGGTGTGTGGGTGTATGAATATCCAGCCTTTCTTAGCCAGCACTGGCTCCCTCAACATGCCGCATGAGTAACAATCAAGTCATACTGATGGGGCTGGGATTTAGAACCCAGAAACGAAAAACCCTGGACTTTCAAACTTGGTCCATACTGACCAGTTTCCTTAAGTGGGGGGGGGGACTTTCAGACTCACCTCAAACACCACCATCTGCAGGAGGCTTTTCCCTGCCCTGCCCTCCTCCCTTTGAGATGAAGTTGTTGTGTATACAGGGCAACCCAAAAGTCTTAGTGTAATTTTAAGCTTTCCCTAGCAACTTGCAAGGGATGGTTTCAGAGAAACCCGAGAGGACTTGTGTTACCTGATGCATGAAGCGAACAGAACCAGGAGAACAACCTATACGATAACAGCAACATTGTAAAGACAAGAACTCTGATCCTAGAAATGACCAGTCACAATTCCAGGGGACTCACAATGAAAAAGACTACCATCGCCACATGGAGAGGGTCAGTCTCAAAGGGCAAAGTTGTATTTTTTTTTAACCCAGCTAATGTGATCAATTAGTTTTGCCTGACATGTATTTGTAAGAGTTTTTTTTTTCTTTTTGCTTTCTCAATGGGTTGGAGAGACAAATTAGGAATTGAAAATAAAATAAAACTGAATTAAAAAAACTAAACGCCCGTTGGCTGACTCTCTCCCAAGCCATAAGTACAGCGGGGCGGGTCTCCGAGCTGATATTTACATTCAAACTCGACCTCACCCGCTGATATTTACTATCAAACAGGCTCTCGTTTGCATCCCACCACAGACACCCAGGCTAGGCGGATTGCTTGGGGGATGATCCGTTATCTACGGTATGGATCAGAAAACCTAAAGTCAGAGACGCGAAAGGAGCTCTGCGGGACGGAGGATCCTCAGGAAGGAGAACCGAACGTCAGGGCTGGAAGGAGGCGGGGGCTTCAGCACACGTCGGCGGCCAAAGGGCACAGCGTGCCCGCTGCGTGTCAGCCCCGAGACTCTCAATAAAGTTGGTTTTAATGGCAATCACGTGACGCCTCCGGTAGCCGGGGAGAGAACTCGGAGCGCCAATCCCAGCCTCACGCTGGCCCTGGGGCCCCGCCCTCGCCCCGGCTCCCGGAGGAGGAGGGAGGACGGCACGCGCACACCTCGTCCTCCGATTGGACGGCGCCGAGGGAGGGGGCGGGGCCGACCCGTCCCCTCGCTATGGCTCGCCGTCGGCGTTAGGCCAATCTTCCGTCACCGGTAGAGGACACGAGCAAGATGGCGGCGGGGCTGGTGCGAAGCGGGCTCGCAGGCTGCGGCCAGCAGGTAGGCGCTGCCCCGACGACCCCGCACCGGCTCGGCCCCTCCGCCCCACTGACCCTCTTTCTCTCTCCCCGCCCGCCAGGTATCCCGGCTGTTGAGGAGGCGTTTCCACCGCTCGGCGCCCGCGGCGCTGCAGGTAACAGGACGGGGAGGGAGGCCGGGGCCGCGCTTGCGCACTGGGCCTCTGCGGCAGGGGGCGTGGGGGGGTGCGACCGGGCCGATCTCTGCTGGGCTCTCGTCCCTCCCGGCCCCGCCCCAGCGTTCTCGGCCAGGACGAGTGGAAGCCCACTGAGGGCAGGCGGTGCGGGAAGCGGCTCCAGGGCCCGGCGCCCATCGGTGGGCGGGGCGGGGGCGGCTGCGTCCTCTGCCTGCCTCTGTGGGACCCCGGACTAGTCCCCTCGCCCCGTGTGCCTCGTCTGTGCAATGGGCTCACAAAACAAACGAGGGTCTGATGAGACACGTGTAAACGGTGCTTAGCGCGGGCCGCATACAGAGGTGCTTAATAAATGCTCATTGCTTCCCCTCCTACCCCCCGGCTGCCTCCCCCGGTGCTAGAACCTGCCTCTGCCGGGAAGCCGCCGTGGGCTGCAGGAAATGAACACATTCGAAAAGCCCGAGTTAACCCCGGTGGCCCCAGGCTTCCCTCCCCGCACCCCTCTTCTCCAGGGGCCCCCGGCCGGAGCCTCCCGGTCCCAGCCGCCTCCTCCGCATCGTGAGTTCTTGCGGCGGGTGTCCCGCCAGCCGTAGGATGAAGGTCACGCAGCCCCGCATCCTTGTCGCTGCACAGGCTTAGGACAGGTTTAATCGCTTTAATTAAAAGCCCTGGATTCCCGGGGGCGGGGGGGGGGGGGAATGGGGGGGGGAAGCTGCTGACAGACCAGATGCCTGGGACGACCTCGATGGATGGCGGCTTTGGGTGCTGCGTGGACGGTTTGGGGGACGGCCGTCAGCGCCCCGGCGTGCCCGCGGTCCAGGCTCTTGGGGTGGCACCCTGGTTTGGCTCGGTGACAGTTGGGGGGTCCTGGGCTTCTTCGGACGCCGCGCCCTCCCCGCACGACAGGTGACGGTTCGAGATGCTCTGAATCAGGCCATGGATGAAGAACTGGAGCGGGACGAGAAGGTCTTCCTGCTGGGAGAAGAAGTGGCTCAGTATGACGGCGCCTACAAGGTAAGGACCGAGGGCGCGGTGACACCCCGCGCAAAGCGGCCGGACCCCCCGCCGGGCCGCAGTAACTGGGTCTGACCGTTTATCAACACAGGTCAGCAGGGGCCTGTGGAAGAAGTACGGAGACAAGAGAATCATCGACACGCCCATATCCGAGGTAAGGCGTGGAGTCCGAGGAGTCCGGGTGGCCCGGCCGGGAGGGGGGCGCCCCTGGTCTCCCCCGGCCCTCAATTCTCAGCCTCTGCTTTGCTTTTTCAGATGGGCTTTGCCGGGATTGCTGTAGGGGCAGCTATGGTATGTGATAACACATTTCTTAAAAACTCACCTAAATGGGTTATTCTTGACTTTGTCTTTTGAAAATTGTTTTCATGTAATACAGCTGTGGTGGTTGATGCTTTATTTTCCTTTTAATTAAACTGCTTAGTTATGTTGTTTTTCTCCTTAATTTAACAGGCTGGATTGAGGCCTATTTGTGAATTCATGACCTTCAATTTCTCTATGCAAGCCATTGACCAGGTTATAAACTCAGCTGCCAAGACTTACTATATGTCCGGTGGGCTTCAGCCTGTCCCCATTGTCTTCAGGGGACCTAATGGTGCTTCAGCCGGTGTGGCTGCCCAGCACTCGCAGTGTTTTGCAGCTTGGTATGGGCACTGTCCCGGATTAAAAGTGGTCAGTCCTTGGAGTTCAGAGGATTCAAAAGGACTTATGAAGTCAGCAGTCCGGGATGATAATCCAGGTGAGTCCTTTTTCATTCTGATTTACAGAGAACCTTAGAGATTATAGAGTAAAATCTTCTCGTTTCACTGATGGAACTGAGTCCCTTTAACTGGTTTTAATCAGTTGATGTGAAGAGAGAAACTAGTTTTGTTTCTAAGTCTTGGTTTCTTCCTGTTCCAATGTGAATAATACCCTGATGTTCATTAAAAAAACAGCTGTTTGCACCTGCCCCGCTTGTGATCCACAGCATTTCTGAATTTCTGACGTCCTTTAATTTTAATAAGCGGAACAGTGGGATTAGCCAAGATGAATGTCATGTAAATAAGCCATTAAGCTCAGCTGTCTTTTCAAACTATGAACAATTGAGGCCTCCTCATGTAAAACAGCTTTTTTAAGTGAAACTTTTCTAGAAATTAATGTCACTGATTTGTTTGAGAGTAAGTAGTCAGTCATCCTTAAAACTCCTTGATGCTTGCTGGAAACAGATTTGGAATCCCTCAGATCCCCTTCGGCCTTTCCTTGACTTAGAAAACCTCAATTAACATTCTCTGTGTTGTATTTTTTAACTTGTTAAACATTTCCCAAGCACATTTTAGCCGGACTCTGTCTGGGCTCCCCCTGAGTTGAACACCTCTGCTCCGCCCCATTCCTTGTGGTGTCTATCGGTTCTCCTAGGAAGGGGGTGGGGGTGGGGCAGTGGGGTTTTCAGGGGAATTAACCTGGTGTGAAAAGGAGGCCCAGGTGACTCCTGCCCCCTCCCCCTCCTGGGCTAGAATGGTAGACCCCCTTCTTATCTAGGTTTAATCCCGTTTGGTTTGTAGTTGTGGTGCTGGAAAACGAACTGATGTATGGAGTTCCTTTTGAATTTCCAGACGAAGCTCAGTCCAAAGATTTCCTGATTCCTATTGGAAAAGCTAAAGTAGAACGGGAAGGTAAAAAACTGTCACACCATCCCTCCCAGATCCCTACCCTGCTCCCCCCTCCCCCATGAATGAAATTGCATGTAGATAAGAGAAGTGAAGCAATCGTTTATTGGGGTAATTTCTTTGAATTTTCAGTAGAAAGATTTTAGGGCCCAAGCGTGGTTGTGTTTTTATTTGAGGCTAAGTGGCACAGTGGAGAGAGCCCTGGACATAGAGCCGGTAAGACCCCAGTTCCAGTCCTCCCCCAGATACTTCTTAGGTGTGTGACCCTGGACAAGTCACTTAACCTCTGCCTGCCTCGGTTTCCTCAACTGTGAAATGAGGATTACAATAGCATCTACCTCCCTGGGTTGTAGAGGGAGGATCAAATGAAATAATATTTGTAAAGCACTGTGTATTAGTTATTATTTCTTGAACTAGTCAGCCTTTTTAATGCTTGAGATTAAGTAGATTTGAATGAACTTTTATCCCAGGGACATGCCATTTTCAGGAAGTACATTATATTTCACATTGCAACTAGACTTAACTTTCAGATATTTAAACAAACAAAAATTCCTAAAAATTGTAAGTGGTGAGATTTAAGTAACCTAATTCTTATCTATTGCTGCTTGATATTAGGAACCCACATTACATTGGTTTCCCACTCACGACCTGTTGGCCATTGTCTGGAAGCTGCTGCTATACTGTCTAAAGAGGGAGTGGAATGTGAGGTAGGTTAATACCTGGGGTTTTTTGGTTTAATTTATGTCTTTTTAATGTGTCACAATCATTTCCAGATGTCTCTTCCCCTACTTCTCCTTACCCAGCAAGCCCTTTTGTAACAAAGATGTTAAAAGAGGGAAAAAAGGCATTTTAACAAAAGTGACCAGTGTTTCCCTTTGTCTGATAGTGTGTGCAGGCTTCCTTGCCTGTAGGCGGGCAGCGCGGCGTGGGCCCTCCACCCCCACCCCAGTCACTGTCAGGATGCCACCAGCCCTGTGTCTCCACATCTGTTATGGTTGTGGTCATCCTGACCACAGTTCTCCTGATTGTCCCTGCTTCTCTGCATCGGTTCATGTGGTTCTTTCTATGCGTATCTGAATTGATCATATTCATTGTTTTTTACAGGAAATACCCACTTACTGTGCTCATGCGTTTTTGGGCCCACGGTTTGGTTTTTTAAAGACTGAGTAGACCGAGGCATTAGTGTGGGTGTGAAAGTTTGGAGCCCACCACAGAACGGGCATCCTGGCACTCCCACTGCCAGGCGTGGCTCAGATCCTCAGGGAGTACAGGGACTCCCTCTAAGCATGAATGCCTTCCACACTCATCTGATTGAGAACTGCAGAAGGCTTCCTTGAATTACAGGGATCCTTTCTAGAACTTCCCTTTCTTCCGGTCTTACTCCTCTTGTCCATGCCAGTAGTTGACTTCCCTCTTGGTCGTTTTTCCACATTTTCCACTCCCAGCTGCTTCCAGCCCTGGGTGATCCAGTCCCTGTCTCTCCCCCTTCTCCATCCGTCTGCCCACCGTTCAGCACATCAAGTTCTGTCTGGTCCCGGCTCCCACGGGGATATGCCCTGAAAGGATACCTAGTTGTGTCCTTCCTGGTCTCTTGGGCTTAGCTGGAGAGGCCCCTACCAAATGGAGGCTGGCTAGCTTCCCCGGGGAACAGGTCCTCCTGGCCCGTCTAATCACCTGGAACCCTCTTACTCCCAGGCCTCTGGGAAAATGGGTCGTTTGCCTTCACTTCTCTCTTTCTCCTGATCCTCTGCTATTCTTGGCATCCTTGCTCACGCTGCCCAGGTAATGGCTGGTATGTTGATTCCATCCTCTTTCCCCACCATAGGGATCTCAGAGAGCCTCTGGCCCATCTCCCTCATTTTGAAGAGGTGGTCCCTCTCTCTGCCTTTTCTTCTGTGTGTATCCCAAAGGTGCAGCCCTGTGCCTGGGGCCTTGAGGTGCCCTTATGGCTCAGGCTTTGAAGTAATGGTGCGCTAACAGTGTGCCTAGTTCTCTTGAACTAGGACAGAATGGAATTGCAATGAGCTTGCTTTGTGGGGTTCTCTGTTTCCTTTCCTGTAAAATGGGCACAGTACTCTTCAGAATCCCTTTTGGAGAGGCGTGAGGATGAAATGAGAATGTCTCAAGTGTTTGGCACACGGCAGAATGCTCTCGAAGTGTCTGTTGCTGTTTGTGGACTTGAAGTGGGGGTGGGAGGAAGCTGTTGGGTCAGGGGCAGTCACAGTTTGGCTTCTGCACTTTGTAGCTTAGCTACAGTGTGAGCAAATTAAGCTTTTAATAATAAAATAAGGTGGCATCGGTAAGAACCCAAACAAGGACGTACTTGTGACAACTCAAAAGGAAAAAATCATCATGTGTTTTAGGTGATCAACCTGCGTACCATTAGACCGATGGACATTGAGACCATTGAGCTCAGCGTGATGAAGACCAATCATCTGGTGACCGTCGAAGGAGGCTGGCCCCAGTTTGGGGTGGGAGCCGAGATCTGTGCCAGGATCATGGAAGGTATTCAGGCACCTGAACGCTGGATGGTGGTGTGGCTGGGATGGCATATTACTGCCTGTGGCACCCAGGCGTGGTGCCTGCTTCCCAGGCTCACCACGGGTGACCCACCTCACACCCCCCACCCCCCCACCAGGAAAATGGAAACTCCTTGGAAAAAGGAACTGTGTTGGGTTTTGTATCCCTCCCAGAGGGTCCTGCACACGGTAGACATTTAATCAATGATTGCTGAATTTAGATGCCTCTCAGAAAGCAGGATACAGTGAGACTGGGGAGCATCGCCAGTTGCTTCAAGCTTCCTGTTAGGCAGAAAAACGAGGTGGTAGAACCTGTCCTGTAACTTCTCTGAGCTATCAATTAATCGATCCGTCCCAGTTCACTTGATCTGGTCAAGCCTTCATGCATCCACTCCTTTGTTCCAGGTCCTGCATTTAACTTCCTCGATGCTCCTGCTGTCCGAGTCACCGGGGCTGATGTTCCTATGCCTTATGCGAAGATTCTGGAAGAAAACTGCATCCCTCAAGTCAAGGACATCATCTTTGCAGCCAAGAAAACACTGAATATCTAATTTGTACTTGACATTGAAGTCCCTGGGATTTCTTGCCTGTAATTATTGCTTCAGAGGTTAGGATGTGCTGTTGGTTCACAGTAATTGTATTGGTAATTGCACTGTCCCAAGGCCTCTGGGTACCATTTTGTGTGGGAGATAGCGTCAAAGCACTTGGGGTCATCTCAGTTCTGAGACTTTCACCCTTTTGTGTCTGTTACAGTTAAGCTATTTCTGCTCCAAAGAAAACGATTCAATAGAATGTTTCTGCCTCCATTACCAACAGGACGATGCGTCAGGGGCTTTGAAGGAACCCTGGCCAAGGGTCTGCCTGACAGTTAACTTATCTGTACAGAGGGAAGGTGTGATCTGCCTCAGTTGAGTTCCGTTTTGAGGAGGAATAAATGCCTTCTGGTTCCAGTCATTGGTGTTGTCTTTGTGATTATTTGATCCCAAATTACTGCACAGGGAGTAGGAGAATCTTCAGTATTTTGGGAGATGAAGAAATAAGGACCAGGCCAGGGATAGGGCTCAGGAAGTCGAGAGCCAACACTTCCCAGAATCGTGCAACTTAAAGGGATCCCTCCCTTAAGTCAAAAACAAGTTAACTAGGCCTAAATTTCTAGAAGGGGTAAGGCAAGCTTACTATTCATGAGCAGACTCACAAGTCTCTACCTTAAGAGAGAAGGTGACGAAGTTTGTGCTAGAAAGTGGGCAGCATCTTAGGGGGACAAGACCCCATTTTCCCCCAACACAGAGACAGCTGGTTTCCAGAATGCTTCCTCTGCCTTAAAGCTGCTCCCAACTCATTTGTCCACCATTTTGCCAGAGCAAGGCAATGTTAGTATTTTTGACATTGTGTTAGAAATGCTAAAAACATCTACCTCCAGAACTGTCCTTCCCAGGAATTCCTAAAACAAGCATGTATATTGAAGCTATATTGAAATGTGAAAAAGGAAGATCTTGCTTACAATAGGAGTTAGCTTTTATTAATAAAGAAATGACAAGAAAATAGGACATGAAAAAGGAAAACTAAAATTTAGAAAAAAATACTGTACAAATCTCTCCACTTTTACTAAATGGTGTCTCCAAGAATCCTTAAGGTATAGTGTCTTGAAATACCTAGTTCATCTATGTAGACAAGTTTCCTTGACATGGTTTATTATTTTAATAAAAAATACAACTGAATATATATCACAGGTTACATGAAACTATACACAATGACATTCTCTCTGCATAGTAACAAACACTGATGTATACTTGAATTCAAAAATGGATTATCTATAATCCTTTAAAGTGCAATTTGTTTAAAGGTTTAAGCAAATCATAAAATAAAGGATCTTTTCAAATCAGTAACATTAAGAATATGTAAGATGTATTTATGTTCAGTTTTTCCAAGATGGTCATTTCTTAAAGATGTTAAATTTATTTGTGTTGTAAGAAACCCTGCCTTGTCTTCAGCTGATTCAGGGCAGAATGTTAGAAGCGTATCTGATGAATCCCATTAATTTTGTCTCTTGTCCCTTTTCCAAAAGATTCTAATTAGAAAGTGGCAATTTGGGGTCTAGAGGGGCTGTTTGAACAACCCCAACTCCTAGGAAGTGTCCCTGCTAAAACTCACAGAAGACATCCACCTTTTTCCAAATTATTTTTGGGCCAATCAAAAGCTCAGGTTATCTTCTAAACCCAGCCACAGGCTGTGCTTTGGGCCAAGTGCTCTTATGAAAATAGCAGAGATGAAGCTGAATCAACAAAATGGAAGGCATCTCTGAGAGCTTGGAAAGTACTTGGGGACAGACAATATTCACTGCACCTCGGTTTCCCTGTTGCTCTCTTTCTGGAGGAAGGCAGGGCCACAACACAGAGTGCACTTGCTGCCATGATCAGAGTACTGTCACTGTTGCCCTGCTTTCTAATTCAGTTGGTAGAAAGAACCATTGAGGACTCAAAGATGCCCAGAGACAAAAGCAAGGTTGCCATTCACACTCCAACTCCTTGCCACATCATTGCCCTCTTGAAAAGATGCTTGGGTGGTCATCTGCACAGTGCCGCCCTCCTGGCTCGTCAGTCATTCTACGTGCAAGGGTGGGAGTACGGAGGGGGGGTGTCACAGGGAAAAACTAAAGATGGCAGCCAACTGTAAACAGTCAACTTCAGTAGATCCTTGGGGCACTGTGATCACAGGTGTCGGCTTTCTTCAGAGTACCTTTCTGAAAATTTTGAATGGAGCTGAGTAAGGCTCCTCGGCTGGTACCGTTCACAGACGGAGGCGGAAAGAGCGATGGTGTTGGTGCGTCCATGGGGGGAGGCAGTGGAGCCCCCGGTGGAGGGGGAGGTGCAGGTGGTGGCGATAATGCCGACACGCCTGAGGAGGTAAAGAAATGACAGTCAATAATAGATGAGAGCTCACAATGGCATGAATGGTCAGGCCACAACCGCTCCCCAAGAAGGATGTTACAGCCAACATGGTGAACATGATGGAAGGGTGGTGGGAAGAGAGCTGGTCCAGTCAGGAAGGTCTGGGTTCTAGACCTACCTATGCCCCGTCATGGCTGGCTGTGTGACCCTGGACAAGTCACCCAACTGAGTGCCTCTAGGTGCAGAGGTGCACCTTTAGGTGCAGAGATGCACCTTAAGGTGCAGAGATGGCTCAGATCTGTCTACACATCTACCAGTCCAGTCACAAGTATGGTGAATGTGCACACACACACATATGCATGCATGCACAGTGCACTCATCCACACATACACACATCCACCCACGAACACATCCATACACAGTGCACTCATCCACATATGTGTATACACACACGTACACACACATATACACATACACATATACACATGCATGCACACACACATACACACACGCGCGCGCACACACACACGCACACGCGCGTCATCCGCAGGATCAAAGATCACAGACCCACAGCCGGAAGGGCCTTCAGGGGCCATCTAGTGCAACCCTGTCATTTCACAGATGAGGAAACTGAGGCCCAGGAAGGTTAAAGGAACACTCGCATCAGTCGATGCCAAGACTGACCAGCACCAAAGGGGAATGCCCTCTGACAGCTTTCAATGCCTCAGCTAAACAGAATCCAGTCTAGTCGTTTCTGTGCTCTCGAGGCGGTCCCCGAAGGACGTCAACGTGTCAGTGCACAGGGCAACAGAATCAAGCCTTAGGCACTTACGAGTCGTGTGATCCTGGGTAAGCCTGCCTGCCTCAGTTTCCTCATACATAAAATGGAGATGATAACGTTTGTAAACCTTAGAGCACTGTCACATCAATGCTAGCTATTATGATTTTTAGGACTAGCATTTTTATACTTGACTTCAGTGCAGGGTTGGTAGCTGATGACGATCACTGTCTAAAAAGGCACTTTGTTTTTTTAATTTTTTTAGGCAATTGGAGTTAAGTGACTTGCCCAGGGTCACACAGCTAGTAAGTGACAAATGTTTGGTCTGAGGCTGGATTTGAACTCAGGTCCTCCTGACTTCAGGGCCAGTGCTCTATCCACTGCGCCACCTAGCTGCCCCTAAAAAGGCACTTTGACACCTTTGCTGGGGGACGGGAGAGCCATGTGGTAGGCCTGTCATGTCACTGACATAGGGAGCTTCCAGCATGGAAAAGTCTCTCTATCGATGGGCAACTTTACTGCGACTCCTAAAAAGTGCCCAACCTGCCCCATAACACAAAGTGTCAAACCACTCAGCATCCTCAGCTAGTTAAACCAGACCCACAGGAAGTCTCTTGGGAATAATCATACTACAATTTGCCATTCTGGAGGAAAGAGGGCTGGTTTTTGCTCTGTTAAAAATTATTTTTTCAATGATCGAGCATTTATTTTTTTCTCCCTCAGAAGAAGCCAAGCCCTTCTAAGACACCCCCATAATAAAGCAACATAACAGCCTATTTCTGAAATGTGCCTCCAGCCAGGAGGGCCATGCACACAGCCAGCTGGATGGTGCTTCTCCCTCCTCAGAGGAGGCTTGCAGGACGGAAGCTTCCCCGGCCTGCTAAAACGGGGCTCTGTCAGAAGCCAGGTGCCCCTTTGGGTCTCTGGAGGACCTGACCTTAGCACCAAATTATGGAGGAACGAGAAAGATTCTGCGGTCAATGTCAAAAAAGGGCTCTGGGGGGTCTGCTGTTGAAGCACTGAGGGGCTCCTGTTAGAGATTATACATCTTTTCCTACTCAGAACAAAATCAGCAAATGCAGGAAAACCCTCCAATAAAGCACAGGGCTGTGCTCTGGATCCAGTGGTATTGTGGGTCAGCCTGCCCTTGGTGCATACACACATGTAAAACGCACAGAGAGGCCTATAATGCCGGCATGAACCTCTTCCAATCCTGGGAGGGCACGGGAGCAGGGAAGGGGAGAGTTCTTCCCATTTCTGCCAGACTGCAACTGAGACCTAGTAATACAGGACCAAAGATGGAACTGTGGAATGCAGACAGATGAGGACCACCAATGGGAGAGGACACGGGAGACAAGGGCCAGCAAGCACAGGGCGTGGGATGAGCAACACGTGACATCTCCCACCTGGGAAGCACTCACCTTGACTGATGTTATTTACCCACAACACAGCTGAAATGAAAGAATCACACGTGAATGCACCCTCTTGCTTCCTCGTATCTGTATCTGTATGCCCAGCACTTAGGACAGTGCCTGGCACCAGGTAACTCCTCAATAAATGCGCCACCTATTATCTCCCCAACTCTCTATCTCTCTCTACCCATCTACTATCTGGCTCTGGGCACTCTCTCTGGCTCTCCCTCCTGCCTGGACCACTCTCACCTAGATGCCGCCGCATCTAGACCTCTCTGGCTTTCTTTAAGTTCCAACTAAAATCCTATCTACCTTCTCCAGGAAACCTTCCCCAGCCCCTCTTAGTGATTTCCATTTTATCCAGTGTATAGCTTGTCTGCATGTATCTGTTTGCTGCCTTCCTCATTAGACTGTGAGTTCCTGGGGGACAGGGCCTGTCTTTGGCCTCTTTTTGTATCCCCACAGGCTCAGTGCCTGTTGGACCAGTGTTGTCCCCATCTGTCTCTATCTATTCCTGTAATGATAGCGCTTCAAGACACAGACAAACTCAGATCCAGTCCCACTGTTTCTAGACAACAGATAAGTGATGAATGAGGAATGAAATGCCGCCATGTTTGATGGGAAGTGGCCCACGGAAGAAGCTACCCTGCTTCTACAGGGGGTTCAAAGCCATGAATGCTTTACTGCTGCACTCCAACTTTTGGGACATCAAACGATTACCACTGAAATGGACTTTTTACCAGGTGAGAAGGTCCAGCTGGGCGCAACGAACAGTAGGCCTGGCCAGAGCCTGGGAAATGTGGGTTCAAAGCCACTCCTCTCTTACATGCAACCCTGGCCACGTTCCCTAAACCCCAAGTCCTCCAAGCTGGCTGAGGGATAACTGCACGAGGGAGTTACTCATCTGCATTCCTAATGGGGAATCTACACAGGAGAAAACATAGGTCCCCCAGGTAGACCCTCCATCCCCCACTACCGAGGGCCTTCAGATCTTTTACAAAGACTCAGCAGGTGCAGATTTGCTAAGGGAGGCGGAGCAACCCTTTATGGCGCATGTCCTGCCCAGTTTGTCTAAGTGGATCTGTCCAGCCGGACCACAAGCCTGCCAGATCCCTTGAGACCCCACTCTCGCCCTTGGCAGGGCTTAGTGCCCATGGAGCCACCAGCGACTGGCTTTCACGTTTGCAGCCCAGGCTAAGTCAGTACCAGCCTCTCATAGGTTTCTGCGCTACCCAAGGCCACCAACTGAAAAGGGCTCATTTTAAGGAAAAGGCCCAGGACACGTGGAGATAACACTTCTGACCAGAGGGCCTGGGCCTTGAACTCTTCATCTGTACTTATCCAAGCATACAGAGAAGGCCAGATCCAGAATTGGGAAGGGCCTCAGAGGCCATTGAGACCTACCCTCATTCTACAGAAGAGGAAATGGAGGCTGAGGGAGACTAAGGTCACCCGGCTAGGAAGCGGCAAAGCCAGGATTTGAACTCAGTTGCCCCTCCGGTCAATCACTGCACGCACACCCACGTGCTCAGGTTTGCTAGATGGCTAACAGGTCATGGGGGTCAGGGCTCCAGGAGGACACGGGATGAGAGGAGGATGTCACGGAGAACAGGAGCAAAATAAAGGTCTAAGGTTTCCAAGCAGCAGTTTGTTTACACTACTGCCTGGCACAGTCACCTTGATCAGGAGGAAGTGGGGAAGGCACTGAGGGGATGAGGGGAGGGCCCCAAAAGAAGGGACTGTGGGGCAGGTGAGGGAGTGGGTCTAAAGCTTGTGGCCATCTACACCAGCAAAGGGCTTCGTGAGCTCCCAAGGAGATCAGCCGGGGTGGGCTGAGTCAATCTTCTGTGCCAGGAAAGATGGCAGCACAAAGCAGGAGGAGAAAGGGGAAAACAACTACTCACTTTCACTGAGCCCCTTAGGGTCTTGAGTGAAAAGAAACAAAGGCAGGATCCTCACTCCTGCATTTTCTGACTTCTGCTCGGCCTTTGGACTTTCCCATCAACTTCCACCCAAAACTGACTGTATCTTAATTCAACAGGGAGCCGGACACAAAGTATGCGCTAGATGATGAGGGAATGTTGCCCAGATCACAGAATGGAATAGTAATTACATGATGGACTATCACTACTGAACCAAAAAGAAGGACGGGTATGAAGAACTGGGAGAAGCATGGGAAGATGACGGATGAGGTGACATGGAATGAGGAAAGCGGAGCCAAAAGAGCATCACAGCCCTGTAACTAAAGTCAACACGGAGGAACAACCGACCTAGCCAAGGCTGACCTACAGGGTCAATGGCCGGTCAGAGTCTTGCCTTTCTTTCAGCAATCAGCAAACTGACTTCTTCAGGGAACAGACTCTGGGAGCATACTTGTCTGGCTGCTTGTTGGGAAATGTTGTTTGGTCATGTACAAAATTTAGGGGTAAATTTTAAAAACAAAAACTCTACCCATCAAGCTAGAGTCCACCAGGATAGAGGCCATTCACCTATAATAGGCAATGGTAGGTGTTATTTCGATCCGACTTTTTTTAGGGGGGAAGATTGTTTTGAAATAAGTCATACACTATTCACTCTTTGACACTGTTGGAAACTTTAGATTCACTGAGTTCACTGACAAACTGTCCCAACCCCACACTAACAGATCCACCTTTGAGCGTGACTATGCTAAGGAAGGACAGTCAAACTTCTTTGGGTGGCCTTTATCCCCATTCATCTCTAGGACAGCCACATAGAGTGGGCAATCAATTTTTAAAATACTAAATGGATGCTAATCAAGGCTTCCAATCTGAGCATAAATATGAAAGACCATCCAGGGCAACTTAACTGTCTTGAAAGAATATGAAAGAATGACTGATGGAAAAGGATGACCAGCAACTCTCCATTTTCACCAATGACTAGAGTGGCCAGGATCCCCCCATGGGATGGGATTGCCCTGGATTGGAGTACTCTATTCTCGCATCTCAGAAAGAAGCGTGAGGGCAGCGAAAAGTCTTGTATATAATAAAGGCAGAACTGGGAAGCAAGCAAGACCTCGCATATGTGACTCACTTTGTGCCCCTCAAGTCACATCATTTCCTAGTTGTCATGGAGAAGTAAGTCAGCCCTTGTTTCTCAAAATCTTTCCCCCTTGCTCGGTCCACTCCTCCACTCATCATCACCAAGACACCTCTTTCAGAAGAGGTCAGATGGGAGTGAAGCTGGCAACCCAGCTGAGACTAGAACAGGAGGGCAGAGACCAGAGTGAAGGAGGACTGACTTCTTTGTAAGAAATCTGGAAAATGCCCAAAAATACTTCATTGAATGAGAATGTGGACCTACTTACTCAGGATATCTTTTTGAATAAGGCAAGCTGTCTCAGTGTAGTACTGAGGCTATCTGAGGAAACGGGCTGACAGGAGTTTTCCTTGGGCCCATTAATCTATGGTAATTTATTTAGCCAAGGCCCTGTAGAGCACAGTAATTCACTGGCCTGACAATTAGCCACCGATGTTAGGGTTTAACAACTTCTTTTAAAGTTACAGTCAGAGTGAAAATGGAAACTCTGCAAGGTCTGTAATGAGGATGGGACGAATACAAATGAAGTCCCTAATTTTTTTTTTTAAAGATGCTGTATTTCAATGAACCGTCCCAGACAAGGAACTGGCTTCTGATTCACTGTTCCTGCTGTTCATCTGGCTCAGTGTAGAAGTAATTCAGGAAAACGAGGTTACATTTTCCACACAGAAACGGAGCATCTTTAAAATTAGAGAAATCATGATCAGCTTACTTTACCGAAAATTCACCTTCAAAATGGCGCATGCTCTACTGAAAACAGCAAAGAGAAAGAAAAAGAGAGAAAGAGGGGATATGAGTCAGTATTCAGATGTTAGTGTCATTCAATCAAACAGTTAGAGGCAGCAAGAGGAGACTGAGGGACATATCAGTGTCTCCCCCGCCAAACCAGGACAGAATCCAATAAACAAAATCATTCATTGGTTTGCAAACATTCAAGTGGTTCTTTTAGTATTGGGGAAAATCATTGATAAATCAATTCATCACACCCCCTCTGAGCATTCCTTCTTTGTGAATGGGTAAAATCTTATTGTTGTGGGCTCAGAAGAACAAGAATTATTCCACAAAAATATCTTGTCTCAAGGCTTGGCCATTTGAAGAGCTGTTTGTTTGGCTAAGTATGACTTTCTGCAGTAAATAAAATTATATCAAGAAAACCGAGAGACCTGAAAATCAAGCTTGGTTTTGTTTGTTTTTTTCTTATACTAGACTACAAGGTCTGACATGAAAAGTTGCTTTGAAAAAATTAGGAGGGATTAATCGATGAAAACACAACTCATGACCATTTTTAAGCCAGAAGGAGGAACCCTGGGCTTTGTTTTTATTTTGAAGTCAAGAGGCTCCACAGTCACATGTAAGGAATAATACTTTCCTTAAAGCTGACTCACCTTGTTCTCAAGTAAATTAAATCCATGACTTAGCACAACGGGAAAACGTTTGTCCCCTGACTGTGCCCCAAGAATGAAGCCAATACAACTGTGCCCACGCACCTAAGACACTCCAGGAGGACAGCAGCAAGTCTTCTGGAGGGCAGAGGTTCAAATCTCAGCTCTGCTACATACAATGAGACCCTGAGTAAATCACTTTACCTCTCAGGCTCAGCCTTCTCATTTATAAGATGAGTGGGTTGTATTAGATCAGGGTTTTTCCACCTGGGAGTCGGTGAACTTGTGATTTTAAAAATATTTTGATGACTGTATCCCAATGTATTTGGTTTCCTTTGTAATCCTGTGTATTTTATGCATCTAAAACCATAAGTCTGAGAGGGGTCCATTGTTTCATTCAACTGCCCAAGGGGTCCAACAAACAAAAGTTAGGAAGCCCTGGACCAGGGGATCTCAGAGGTCCCTGAGTTACCCTCTGGTATCAAGGAAATAGTCTCTTCAAGTGTAAAAGGAAAACAATAATGCTGGTAAAGGCATTTGAACCGAAGTTCAGATAAGACCATTAAAGGGGGCTGAGGGAACACGGTGGGGAATATGCAG